GTCCAGGAGCCGGAGGGTCTTCTGTCTCTCCGTGGATCGGGACTCGATGTCCTCCACCTGCGCGTCCGTTAAAATCTCCTCCTGGTACAGAAACGGAACGATGGTTTCGCTGACCAGAAGCTGGCCGGACAGCTCCAGCCGGTGTTTTCGGAGGACGGCTCTGTGCACCGGGTCCATTTCACCGAAGCTCATAAAAATAAGCAGTTCCACATCATTAAACCAGTCCTTTGTGTCAGCTGTACAACTACCTTTCAACTGCTCTGTTTTTGTGCTCGGGTGGAAACAAGCAGGCGGAACCAAAGTCTTTGCTAATCACGTTGCGTTCACATTTTTTATGGTAATACAATCTAAAATTTGCTTAGATTGGTGGTTAATATGGGATCTATTTGCGTGGAAGGATTGGTTAGTCATTGATCTTAAATTCGGCGTGCGTTTATACCCCGGATAAAATTAACTTTGAAGGAAAACAGATTTTATGCAGATTGGTTCTGATAAGATGATTTCTGGTGACGTAAATGTACGCCGAAGTTCGGTAAGAAGCCTCGCAGAGCGTTCCACTTTACTGATAAATATTCTTCATTAATAAATCCACGAGGAAACCTCAAAAACAAAGTATTAAATTAGGTTCAGCGTACCATAGCATCGAGCAACGTTACCTAACACACAGCATTAAAAGTGACGGGGATTTAAACTGGAATTAACTGAAATTAAAAACCTTTTTCGCACACGTCAAAGTTTTGTGTCTATTCTTCACGTGTTTAATGTCATCGCTGAGATTTTTTTTTTTACTGATTTAATTTCCAGTCAGACATGAGGTTCTACTGATAGATCTACAAATATGTATGTAATATGTTTTTAACTTAATCCTGTTTCTGGATTTAATGTCCTTCCAAAACATAAACATGATGTTTAAAAAAAATGAACCATCTATGATGGTGTGCAATAAATTTTGCATTTTCTTTAAACATAAAATGTAAAAAACACAGCTTCATGTGTTTAAAGACTTCTAAAAAGAAAAATAATTTATGCATAGCCACCAAATGAAAAACAGTACACTGAGACAAATTCATAAAGCTGACTACTGCACAATGTTCTCATTTGTACATTTAAAAATGTGGGGAAAAGAATCTAAATTTTTACATCTTTAATTTAAAGCACCAGGAAGTTTAATCATGAACATTTGTTATTTCTACAAATCTAGAAAATGAATGGAATAACTTGCAGCAGTTCTTGCTAGAAGAACTTAAACAACAAATATGACCAGTCTATAAACACGTTTCAGGTTTCCTGGCACACTCAGGCTTCTAATAAAGAATGGGCCTTCATAAACTAACCAGAGAAACAAAATTTAACAGAGAGATTTTATTAGTATCATTTGTTTCTTTGTATGTTTTTATTAAAAAAAAATAAAAATCTGATTATTAATGAAGATATTCAACTTTTTCCTTTCAATAAATGATAAAAAAAAACCCATTTATTACACACATACCTGGGCTTCCATAGTTTTGTCCTGTGGGTGTGAATCAATAACAGCATGAAGTATAAGCAGCAGTGAGACATTATTGATGAGGCACCATATAAAATTTATTGATCTCCTGGTAGGAGCTGATCAGTTCATCATTTACATGCTTCAGAAACATACCAGAAATACAGACACGATTAATTATATATTTCATCAGATCACAGGGGCTGCGATATGTACAAGAACGCGCACACGCCCTGCCTGCTTGGTGCATCCATGCTTAATTCAGCTGCTCTTTGTCATCTTCATCATGGAACTGGTCAGATATCAAGGCTGAAGCACAAACAAACACCCTGATTGGCCCTCCTTATACACACATCACAGGACACACCCTGTTTACCTGAGCAGCTACATGACCAATCAGCTCTGCCCCTTCTTCTTGGCCGATGCTGAGCTGTGATTGGATGTTTGAAAATGATTTTAAAGAAAGGTGACAGAGCGTGAGCATGCAGCGTCGACGCCCTGTACCCGATCAGGGACAACTTGACAAAAACCTAACATGGTCACTTGTGTAACCTTCATTTCTACGGTAACAAACAGGTTGAATCCATGACTAAATGTTTTTTTTTCATTAAATTAAGTGCTTGCATGTCTGTTGGATTAATGAGGCAACCACAAGATTCCACAGGCCCCCCCAAAAAACATGCAATTTTTGAATGAAGTTTGGTTGAATGTGCTCCAGAGACTCAGCATTAACCATCAACACTGGTGGGTGAATATGAATCCTAAAAACAAAAGCTTTTTAATGAGGCTTGGTCAGGGTTTGTTAAACATGTTTGTGAAATGTGGTGGTTCAGCGGGTTTTGTTTTGTTTGGAGACATATTTGAGACTAAGACCATTTAATCCAAATCACACCCACTTGCACCACATTTCTGGGGATTTTTCTTTTACATTGGGGGTAAAACAAGAACTTTTTGTAAGCAGGAAAAACCCTGATGATTATGATGACGACAACAACAAAGATGGTGCTGAATTTATCGGGACTAATTACTAACACCAGCAGGATGTATTTAGATTTTTGAATTGAGTTTGGCTGAATTGTAGTTAAAGGTTCCTTCCTGAGTAAGGGCTCGAAGCTAGAGATATGGTGTCAGTGAGACTTCCTGGTAAAATAAAATAAAGATATAAACATATTTTTTTTACCAGGTCTCAGTGTCTGTGCTGAATTTAGGAGACCATGATACTGGTAATAAAAACGTAGGATATTTAAATTGAGTTTGGTTGGAAGGTCTTCACACAGCCTGAAGCTGGTTCATTGCTGCAGACTGAGGTTATTTGATGAATTGAGCTTTGAAAGTGTGCCTTTCCGTCTCCTTGCTACAGAAATAACAGGTCCTGCACCTTTACAGCTCTGAGCCAATCACAGTTTAAGAAAACTGAGTATTTACTACATGCAGGTACAAAGTCTGAGGAGCTTGTTTTGATTCTGAACGTCCACGAGGACACCTCGACTCTCCGCCTCACCAGCGTTCACTGTCACAGGCTGTCTGTTGGCCAATCAGAAGGCTCTGTTTACTTGTGTTTACAGGTGGGACTGACAAGCTCTGACTGGTGGAGAAAAATGGAAAATTATTCTATTTCCTGATTTTTGTTTTCCTTCTGTTAATTATTTCCACAGAAATCCTCGCACAAACTTTCCAACATGAAGAGGCCGAATAATCAATCAAAAGATCAATTAGAAAATCAATCTGGAACCGCTATTTGGTCTAAAATATTTTTTTCTTTTTTTCCACTGATCAAATAATCAATAACTTAATGGGAACAATAATTACTAACTTGATCAATAATAAACATTTAAAAATGTGAAAAAAAGTTAATCAATAATCGATTAATATTCATGTTTCAACACTTAAATTACTGTGACCAGGTTGAAAGAGGTTACATATGGAGGACCAACATGGCCAAAACTCTGCACGAAATTATTAAAAACACACAAAATAATGAAGTTATAAGATGGGACATATTTCAGTATTTGTATTAACACCTCTATTAGTTTT